CGAAGATGGGGACCTCAGTGAAGCTTCGTTTTCATCGTGTCATTCGGGTTAAGGGCTCTGTATTTCTCAATGAATGAAGGGAAAAGCACGGATGGGGGAGGAAAGGAGCAGGAGACACGGATCGACGAACAAGGAGGATCGAGATTTTGAACCAAGCTCCTAAGTCTAAGCCTCTGGGGCCCTCTTGGAAGCCTTCTGAAATCGCTGGAGGCCTCTGAAAAAGGCTTCGGGCGTCTAGGGGGGCGTCGTGGGGACCTATTGGAGGCCGGCTGGTGGTCCCAACCTCTGGGGGTTCCTTTGGTGAGTGTTGGGCCTTCTTGGGGGTCCTCTTGGGCCGTTTGGGGGCTCTCTTGGGCCGTCTCGGGGCCGTCTTGAACTGTTCCTGGGAGCCACCACTGGGGTAGCTATGACTCCTCAGATTAGCTCAAACGTGTTGGCATAGCCTTGGACGGCGACGTTACCAGGACCTGGGTGGGCGTCCTCCTTCGAATCATCCTCATCATCTGCCTCAGCGTATACTTTCTCTTCCTTGGACTTCTGATCGCACTCCTGGTCGGGAATGTGTCGACGTGGAGCACGGTCTCAGAAGTATTCGAAGTGATCCTTGGTGGGCATCCAGGGTGGAACTGAAACCGTCATTGGTTGTGCACGCCAGCGCCTGAATCGTGGCCCCCCAGATGAGCTCAAGCGTGACAAGTGCGCGCCGAGGTCGAACTCCGACATGCTTTGCTCTTGGGGCCTCTTGTCTCTTTGGGGCCTCGTAATGGGTCCTTTTGGAGGCCCTTTTCAGGCCCCGTTGGCGGATTTGGGGGGGCATCGATGGCTTCAGAGGTCCGTCCGTGTTCTCCCTCTTGCGGCTCTCGTTGGGCCTTCTTCGGCCGCCTTGGTGGCTTCTTGGGCCCTCGTGGGGCCCTCTTGAACCATCCTGGGGCCCTTTCCGGGGCCTCTCGGGCCGTCTTGGAATGAGCGCGCGCGCGAGTCTACGCGCATAAATGTCGACGCCCACGTCGGCGCGCCCCTCGCGAGGATCGCGCCCGCCTCCCGCCCTCCCCCCCCAACTTTGCCTGAGCGCGCCCGTGTCCAAGGCCGCGGGGGCGGTGCCGCGCGGGGCCCCCGCGACGCGCGCTGGTCACCCCGCAAGGGCCCCGGCGACGGGCGGGGATCGCCCGCCGCCCTGAGCGGAGAGAGCTAGCAGGCCGGCGGATACCGGGCAAGTCTCCGGCAGCCGGGCAGAGCGACGAAAGGGGCGAGCGAGGCGCCAGGCAGAGCGCAGCATGGAATTCCCGCGACACGCGCCGGTCGCCCCGAGGGGGCCCCAGCGACGCGCGCGGGTCGCCCGCGGCGCGAGTCCATCGAGAGACGGCGAGGCTCGGGCGGGTCGCCCCTCAGGTCAGGCCTCGTGGATATCTTGGTGAAGCCCAACACCCCGGCGAGGGCCGTCGCCTCCCTTCTGCGCCGCTTCGTGCGCGCAGCAAACTGCTCCAGCTGCTTCCGCAAGCCCTCCGGCGGCCCTGCCAGGAAGAACTCGACGCGCGGCGCCCGCGCGAGCAGGAGGTCCTCGTTCGTGGCGCATGGCGCGCGAGAGCAGCGCGTTCGTCGTCCTCCTTGCCGTTCCCGACCCCGCGGCGGCCGCAGTCCAGGATCACGTCTGGGTCTCCCAACGGGGCCACGAAAGGTGCGACGGGTGTGCCAGAATGGGGCGGCGCCGCCACGCGAGCTGCGCCGCTGGGGCCTTAGTTGGAGCTCCATATATGGGGCTTCGAACCGTGTGAAGGGTGTGCCAAACTGGGGCGGCGCCGCCATGCGAGCTGCGCCGCTGGGACCTTCACGAAACGTGCGACGGGTGTGCCAAAATGGAGCGGCGCCGCCATGCGAGCTGCGCCACTAAGACCTTAATTCGAGTTCCCTACAAGGCCACGAAGCGTGTGAGGGGTGTGCCAACATGGGGCGGCGCCGCCATGCGAGCTGCGCCACTGGGGCCTCAGGAAGAGCTCCATATAAGGCCACGAAACACATGGGGGGGTGCTAAAATGGGGCGGCGCCGCCATGCGAGCTGCGCCACTGGGACCTCAGGAGGAGATCCTTATGGGGACACGAAACGTGTGACGGGTGTGCCAAAATGGGGCGGCGCCGCCATGCGAGCTTCGACGCTGAAACCTTACTTGGAGCTCCCTTATGAGGCCACGAAAGGTGTGACGGGTGTGCCAGAATGGGGCGGTGCCGCCATGCGAACCGCGCCACTGGGACCTTAGTTGGAGCCCCCTATGGGGCCACGAACCGTGCGAGGGGTGTGCCAAGAAAAGACGGCGCCGCCATTCGAGCTGCGGCAGTGGGACCTGGAGCTCCCGATCGGGCCACGAAACGTGTGAGGGGTGTGCTGAAACAGACACACGCGGAAAGCAACAACAAGGGGGGGGAGGAGGGATGAAGGCGGAGGAGGAGGAGGAGGAGGAGGAGGAGGAGGAGGAGGAGGATGAGGATGAGGAGGAGGAGGAGGAGGAGGAGGAGGAGGAGGACGGGGAGGAGTGGGACGCGGGGCGCTCTCTCTTCAAAACGAGGACCCAACACCACAGGAGGGCTGGGAAACACTTTAGAAAACGTCCCTGGACCATTTTTGACAATTTCTGAATATTCCTCCTGTAGATGGACAGGCCTGACTGCATCATCAAGTTCAAGGAGCTGCGAAGGGGCAGTCCGGCTTGGCAGGGAGCCGCCCTCCACACGTTCCATGTTGCCATCCGTCTTGATTCGCGGGCAGAACAAGCAGCGTTCAGGACTGCTGCAGCGAAAGCCCCATTTCGGAAAGGGGCCGCCCTCGATCCGTGCCACTGTCGAGCACATTTACCCTCCTGGCCATCATGCTTGACAACTGTCGAACGAGAACCCGTGTTGAAAGAGTATCGCCCTCTGCCTCTGCAGCTGCTGGAAAACGTCAGAACTTATGTGCGCGACACGAATGCGAAAATCACACTTTGAAAACACACCGCCCCCCATCCGTGCACCGCTGGAAACATGCCATGGACAGTGCGCGCGCGGCTAAGGCGAGAGCCACGTTTGAAGACCACCGGCCCTCCAGCTTTGTAGCTGCCGGAAACGTTAAACGCGAATATGCGCGGCGCTGGCGCGAGGATTGTAGTTTGACGACGGTTCGGTCTCCACCCGTGTAACTTTGGGAGAGGGTTTGAGACAAGTGTGCGCCACGACGAGGGCCACATCTTGTAAACTGCCCCCCGCCATCCCTGCAGATGTTGGAAGATTGGCAACCGAGTGATGACAAGTGTGCGCGGTTCTACTGCGATAGCTACATTTGGAAACGACCTGCCCTCCATTCGTCTACCTGTTGGACGCTTCAAGCTTCCGCACCGTAGGCGGCGAGGAAGTCTCAGGCGCCCGGCCCGCTCTGCCGACGCGTCTGGTGGGGCAGCGAAAGGTTGTCTGTATGGGAAAGGGACGGAGGAGGAGAATGATGAGAAGAAGGAAGGAAATTGGTGAAGAGGAGGACGACGAGGACGAGGAATGTGAGGAGGAGGGAAGGAGACTTGGGGGAGGCGGAGCAGCAGCAGCAGCAGCAGTAGCAGCAGCAGCAGCAGCAGCAGCAGGAAGAGGAAATGGAACGGGAGGGGCAGGAAGGGGAGGAGGAGGGAGGAGCCGAGGCGTCCGTGGGGGCCCCACGGCACTCGCAGAATATAAACAAGTCGGCGGGCGCGCGCTCAAATCGTCTTGAAGCGCACGAGGTACTCGGGGTAGATCTGGTCCCGGTCGAATACTACGAACTCGCGGTGGGACTGCTCGTGGACCGTCGCCGCACCTGGGAGGGCAAAAGCGGCGCGAAGCTAACCTTACGTCGGGCGTGTCCCCCTACAGGCGGACTTTGGACGAAAAATAAAGAATAGCTGAAGAAATCGCAAAGCATACACAATGATTGTCAAATAAATCGTCCCCATATTATTGTTTTGACTATGTTTGAGCATTCCCCCTGTAGAGGGACAGGCCACTGTCGGAGGCCCAGCCTGGGCTTTTTTTGGGTCGGCGCTGACGCCCCTACCCTGGCGCGGGAAGTGCGCCAGGGGCGGCGCCGGAGGCGCCGCCGCGGGGAGCACGGCGCCGACCCAAGAAACCCGCGCGGAATTCGGACAATTACTATCAGGTCGGACGAAATGGCGGGTTCGTAAGGGGGAGGGAGGGGCGATCCAGCTCGTGTAGCTGATTTTCCTGGCGCCTCCCGGCGCCGGAGGCGCCCGTGCATGGAGGAAGACGCCCGGCGGTGGGGCCAAAACCAGCTGCATGCCGCGGAGTTTCCAACCCCCCTTTCCCAATTCCCGCTCTTTCGTCTAAATGAATGTTTTCCTTTTCGGCGTTGCGACATTGGGCGGAGGGGGAGGAGGGAGGGTGGGGGGTCAGGCTCTGGATCTCTGCGTAGCGCGACTGTTTGCAACAGTGCGTCCTCCGGGGAAGACCCCACATGCTCGGAACAGGCGCCAAACACAGCCAAGATCTGCTCCATGGGAGACGGGTACAGGGGGGGAGGGTGTGCGAGGGCCCGCGCCGATCGGCGAAACAATGAATGAGAAAACGATAAGAAAACGATCACCAACTCGGCGCGTGCTTGTGCCGATTTCTGCCCTCAGAGCACCGCCCCGCGTCTTCGGCCCAGGGTTGGCGATCACCGAGTCCCACCTGAGGCCGCCCTCGCGGGCGGGCGGGCGCCGGTGGCTGGCAGCCACGAAGCGGGTGCTGGCCGGCGCCAAGACCTTCGGGGTGTAGTACGCGCAGCCGAGGAGCACTCGGCAAAACAACACCACGTACTCGCGCCCGGGCTCTGGGGCGCCCAGCATGAGGGGCTTCGTGCAGTACTGCATCGCCTTGCAGCTCTGACTCGTGGCGTAGATGCCCGCCCCGTAGCGCCCCACGAGCCAGGGGTCGCCAAGGGCGCCCCTGGCCGAAGGTGTCCCCAGCTACCCCCGCCACTCTGCAACCCTGGGCCCCCCGGGGCCTCGAGGGGGGGTGCTCTGGAGGCCCCCGGGGGGCGCCCTGGAAGGATCTGGGGCCACCCTGGGCCAGGGGCACCCCTGGCAACGCCCAACTGAGGTTCGACACCCTCTCGTCGAAGCCGTGCTCGCAGATCGTGCCCGCGAGATCGGCGGTCGTCCCGTGCATGAGCCCGAAGACCTCGTTCGTCTCGGGGTCCAGCGTCTCCATGCCCTCGGGGAGGGCCGGCTGCACGGGCAGCGGCGCCGCGCCAAGCTCGCGCATCTCGGCGCGCTTCTGCTGGAAACGCCTCCAGAGGCGCGGGTTCTCGATGCGCTCCACGCCGAGGACAGCAGCGTGCTGCAGCGCCTTTGACGCGCAGCGGTCGCCGTGATGGTTGTCCGCGTGCGCGGTCGACCGCAAGAGGTTCCTGAACAAGTCTGCCTTGTGCATGGCATCGAGCCGGCGAGACGATGCAGCATCTGGATCATCGCTCTCCCAGTACTCTGGCAGAGAAGAGATCGTGCGAATCAGACCTGAACTGAAGCATGGAAGCTGGATCAGCTCGGACGCACTCGGACGCGCGTTAGGCTCCTGAGATCGAAGCCTGCGGGATGCCTCGAGAACCGCTGCATGCTGGTCGCCTTTGGCGCTCGTTGCCTGCGCGAACAACTCCTCGAGTATCACGCCGAGCGAATACAAATCCGATGCCTTGGTCGCGCAACCGCCTGTCGCCAGCTCTGGGGCGCAATAGCCAAGGGTCCCTGGGGCAGCCGCCGACGTGCTCACGCTGGCACCTGGGAGTCCCACAAACCCCTTGGGCATATGTGGTTTAGCGGGTCCTCTACATACTTAGAATCGCCTCTTCCTCGTTGGAGAAAAGATTGCCCTTCCCTCTACCCCATGTCGCGACACCTTTCCCCTACTTAGCCTAGCCACGCAAAGGGGCTGGCTCACCCAGAAGAGCAAGTGAAGAGATTTTGGGGTCATCGTGGGGCTATCTTGGGGCCTTGTACTGGCGCGCATTCAGTGACGCTGCTTGCTAGGTGCTTGGGGTGGGGGGGTTGGGCCTCGGGGTGGGGTGAGTGGGCTCTTGAGGTCCTGTCAGCCCGTCTTACCGGGTTATCCTGAGGATTCGTGGGCCCTTCTTGTGGCCATCTTTGGACTCTTAGGATCATCTGCAATAGTACGGTGTCTCTGGGGCAGTCTTGGGCGTTCTAACTGCCACGTGAGAAAGTACGCAATACGCCCCCAGATAGACCCCGATGGCCTTCAAGATGACGCCGTATGGTGAATTTGAAGCGAGGTGGCCCCGAACATGTTTCCAAGAGACACCCCAGAGACCGCCACAACACAGAGCCTCCCAGGAACAACCTCTTGAAACAAGGAGCACCACAAAACACCTAAATGGAAAAGTCTACATGCCACCACCGCACCCATTCCGGCGCACCCTCACACGCTTCGTGAACATATAGGGAGCTTCACAGGAGGCCCACATGGCAAAGTCCGCGTGCCACCACCGCACTCATTTCCGCTGAGGGCCCCAGTGCGAGGGTTCGCATGCAGCCGTCCCGTCCGTTCAAATACACCCTCACACGTTTCGCGTCCTTCATCCGCGCTGAGCCAGCCAGCCAGCCAGCCCTCTCTCGCGGCGCGATCGCTTCGAGGAGAAAGTCATATCCTGTTTCACTCGCAACTGCATCGGGTTGGAACTTTCGCCAAACTAATTTGTCTGAGTCTTCTCGACTTGTTGCTGCCGACCCGCTTTTGAGGCCCCAAGATGGCCTTACTCCAAGGGGACCCGGGGACAGTCCGCTCTTGAGGCCCCAAAATGGCCCAACCCCAAGAAGACCCCGAGACAGTCGAAAGGGCCATGGGATGCGATTTGTCTGGCTCCGGCCAAAGTTAATAGTAGCCCAAGAAGGCCCTAAGACAACCCCGGAGGGGCCACGAAGGCTGCGAAAAAGGCTTCAAGGAAGTCTCCGGAGGGCTCTGGGTTCATCACGCTTGGGGGATGCTTGGAGTGATCCTGCGTGCCTTCGCGTTGACTGGCGACTCTCTCTCACTCGGCGTTGCGCTCTTATTCACAGCCCTTCTCGCGACAACCCCGACGAAGATCGTTTCTGGATGGGCCTGTGGAGACACGCGAGTCGTCGAGAAATCTATCGGGAATCGGGATGGGGACTCGAGTGGGGTCCTACTCCTACATTTATAGGTCGGAAAATGCCATCGTGCAGGCGGAATTCGGAAAACAACAAGCAATAGTCAAAACAACAACCAACACTAGTCAACAGAGCACGACACACCGCCGCCAGAACATGTTTTACTACTCTTGAGCACTCTGCGTGTAGAGGGACATGCCCGACTTAACCCTACATGCAAGCCCGCTCACAGCATCTGGCTCGGGCGTCGGTCTGGCCGTCGCCCACAGTGCAGGCCGCGGCCCCAGGAGCCCCCAGAGGAGAGGAAACCTCGGATACGGCACTCGGGGTCTGGAGGCCGGAGGGGCTCCAGCCGTGGCTCGGCCATGGGCATCCCTGCCGCCCTCATCGGATAAGGGACCCCTCAGGGTCTGAGGCCTCCCGGCACTCTCCGCACTCTCCCCAGCGCCCCCACCGCAGGGCCCCGCTCACGGGGCCCGGCCCGCAGGTCCACGTCGAGGGCAGTGGGCAGCTCAGCTCGCGCGCGTCAGCGCGTGTGAAGGGGGAGGAGGAGGAGGAGGAGGAGGAGGAGGAGGAGGAGGAGGAGGAGGAGGAGGAGGAGGAGGAGGAGGAGGAGAATGAGGAGGAGGAGGAGGAGGAGGAGGAGGAGGTCTGCCCGGTCGTCCCGGGGTGGTCCAGGGAGACGCTCCTTGAGTCGAAGCTGCTCCTCCCTGCCCAGCGGCCACCTCTGGCCCTCCCACCTCGTCAGCCCGGACGTGAATCGAGCCATGTCGCACTCGAGTCGCAGGGAGGCGGGGCTCCAAAACGGCCGAGGGGACACATGGTCCAAAATCTTGGCCAGACTTTGGCCCAACGTTTGGCCGCATGGGCGTCTCCAACAGGCAAGCGGGCGGCTGCGACTCGCCGTAGGCGTAGGCGTCTTCGATCCACCGCCCCCTGTTGGCTTGCCACAGGAGTGCACGGCGTGCCAAACTTCTGAACCGATCTTGTTAAGTTATAATGTTCCCCGAAAGGTCTCGGCAGATCGCGCCGGCCAGCAGGAAGGCCAGGGAACAACTTAAACATTCGCCTCCAAGACAGCCAAGATGGCCTCCACGCTGACTCCAACACGGCTAAAATCGTCCCAAGAGAGCCCACGATGGCCCAAAGATGGCCCAAGACGGCCCAAGAGGCCACCAAGAGGGTGCCAAGACGGCCCATGAGGCCTCCGAGAGGATACCCAGGAAGGCCCGAAGAGGCCCAAATCATTTGTTTCCGTGGGTGTTCGAACGATTGTGGCATTTGCTTTCTCTCGGCTTTCCGACGGCCTAAAAGGCCACCAAGATGGCCCCTTGACTACCCAAGAGGCCCCCGAGGCCCCAAGAGGCCCGAAGCCCCACTTCCAAGATGCCCAAGGTAGCCTCAAAGACGGTCCCAAGACGGCTTCCGACGGCATCAGACGGGCCAAGAACGCCCAACACGAGCGGAAATTGCACAACGCCCTCCCGAAAGAGGCCCAAGGAGGCCTCCGGGAGGCCCCCAGGAGGCCCCAGAATGCGCCCAGGAGGCCACAAGAGTGCCCCAAAAGCTCCCAAGAGGCCTCCTCCTCATCCTCCTCCTCGTTGTTCCTCCCTCTCGTCCTTTTCCACTTCCTCCCCAAAGTGTTCCTCTAGGGGTTCCCACAACGCCTGGGGGAACGCACAGTCCGATGTCGTGGCCGAGCTCTGGCCACAACGCTCGTCCGCATAGGCGCCTCCAAAAAGCATGGCGCGGCGGTGATTCGCCGTAGGCGTCTGTGACTTGCCACGAGGGTGCACGGAGCGCTAAGCTTCTGAGTTATGTGGATCTGTTAGAGGTTCCCAATAGGGTATCGGCCGATCACGCCAGCCACCTGGGAAGTTCGATTCCTTCGGTCTTCCCCCCATGGACGGCGCAAAGACAGCCCAAGACGATACCAAGACGGCCGAGATGGCCCAAAGACCAGAGTTTGAATGATTTTAGCGGTCTCGCCGGTTCGGGCTTCCGACACTGAAAGGCTGCCCCATCGGGCCCCGAGATGTCCGCAATATTGCCCAGGAGGCCCGCAAGACGGACCAAAAGGTTCCTAAGCCGGCCCCGAGACGGCCCCATAGCCCTACGGCCCTAAAATGCCCATAGAAGGACCCACGGCTGCCCAGAGGGGGCCACGGGACGGCCTCCGAAGGCCAACGTGCCACTTCGAGGCCAAAGGAAGCCCCCAAGAGGCCCCAGGAGGCCTCCAAGAGGCCCCAGGAGGCCCCCAAGAGGCCCCTCACTATAGAAGCCCCAAGTAAGCTCCCAGGAAGCCCCCAGAGGGCATCAAGAGGCCTTTTTCTTACTCTTTTTTCTCGTCCCTAGCATCCTCTCCTCCTCCTCCTTTTCCTCGTTTTCCTCCTCCTCATCCTTGTTGCCCCGTTGACTCAGTGGGAACGCCAGGCAGTGCCTGACGCGCCCCTAGCAACACAGCGAGCCGCTACCGCGCGGGCCCGCTCACACCTTGGAGGTGGGTGGAGAACCCCGTCTCCGGTCACGACTCCCAGAGGGGGAGGCCCCAGCCAGGGAGGCTCAGGGGGGCCCACAGGAGACCTGCGCAAGCAAGGAGGGCAAGAAGATAAGCACGGCAGAGCCGGTCCCCCGGACAAGACTCCCAGGCGAGGGACCCCCGGCTGGGAAGGCCAGGTTGCTCGTCAGGAGACCTGCTCATCCAGGGAAAGGGGCGGAAAGCAGTTCCCCTGGGGCCCCGGTGCACCGCCAGACACTGGGGCATCCCTGCGGGGGCACCTCCTCCTCATCCTCCTCCTCCTCCCTCTCCCCCTCCCACGTGTTTTACCAAGGGGTTCAAACACGACTGGGGGAACACATAGTCCATTCCAAAATCTTGGCCAGACTTCGGCCCAACGTTTGGCCGCATATGCGTTTACAGAAGGCACGAGGGCGGCTGAGACTCGTCGCAGGCGTCTTCGATCCACCGACCTCTGTTGGCTTGCCACAGAGGTGCACGACGTGTCAAGCTTCTGAGTGGGTTGGGTCTCGTTGGAAAGTTCACAATCGGCATTTGCCGACCGCACCAACCACCCGAAAAATCCGGTCGGCAGGGATTCTTCCGTTCCAGATGGCTCCAATATGACCCAATATTGATTCCAAGACGGCCCACGATGGCCTCCAAGAGGGCTCAGATGACCCCAACAACGCCCAATCTGTCCCAACATACACCTAAGACCCAAGACGTCCCAGGATGCACCCGAGACGGCCCAACATAGCCTCAAGACGGCCAAATATGCCTCCAAGAGATCCTCCAGGAAGGCCCGACAAAAACTAACATCATTGGTATCCCTTAGGTTGTTGAAGGATGCTTGCAGTTGCTCCTTTTCGGTCCTCCGACGGCCCAAGAGGCCCCCTAAATGGCCCCCAGAGCGCCCAAGAGGCCTCCAATATGGCCCCATGACGGCCCAAGAGGCCCCCTGAAGGCCTAAGAGGGCCCCAAGACGGGCTCAGGGTATCTTCAAGACGCCCAAGATTTCCAAGTCTTCCCTGAAGCGCCCCAAGAGGGCCCCTAGACGGCCAAGGGAGGCCCCGACGACTGCTTCCGACGGCGTCACACGGGATAGGAACGCCCAAGCCGAGCGGAACGTCCACAACCCGCGCCCCAAAGAGGCCCAACGAGGCTTCCAGGAGGCCCCCAGGAGGCCTCAAGAGTGCCCCAAAAGCTCCCAAGAGGCCTCCTCCTCCTCCTTGTTCCTCCCTCCCGTCCTCTTCCACTTCCTCCCCCAAGTGTTCCTCTAAGGGTTCCAACAACTCCAACACCTGGGGGAACACACGATCCGAAAGCGTGCTTGAGCTCTGGCCACAAAGTTCGGCCACATAGGGTCTTCCGAAAGGCAGGGGCGGCGGTGATTCGCCGCAGGAGTCTTCTATACACCGCCCCCCGTGGGGTGCCACAAGGGTGCACAGCGGGCCAATTTCGTCAAATGTGTTGGTCCAGTTTGTTGAGTTCCGAATGGGGTATTGGCCGATCGCGCTGGCCACCCGAAGAGAGCGGGACATCCACAAGACGTTCACGATTACCCAAGATGACTCTAAGACGGTCCCAAGGCGGCCAAGTTTTAAGAGAGCTCAAAATGGTCCCAAAGTGCACCGAAGACGGCCCAAGATGCACCGAAGACTTCCCACGATGGCATCCAGATGGGCCAAGACGGCCCAGGAGGCCCCCACGAGGTCTCCAAGACGACGCAAGAGCCCTTCAAGAGGTTCCCCAAGAGGCCTCTCAGACTGCCCAAGGGGCTTCCAAGATAGCTGACATCGCCCCAAGAGAACCCAAGATGACCCACATCTTGCCCAAGACGGCCTAAGCGGCTCCCAAGATGGTGCCAAGATGGCCCCCAAGAGGCCTCCAAGAGGATCTCCAGTACGGCCCGTGGATGCCAACATCAGTGATGTCCCTCAGGTGGTTGAGGGATGTTGGCATTTGCTCCTGTTCGGCCCTCCGACGGCCCTAAAGACCCCCTGCACGGCCCCCTGAGCGCCGAAGAGACCGCCTAGATGGCCCCATGACGGCCCCAAGAGGCCCCCAAGACGGCTCTAAGAGGGCCCCAAGACGGCCCAGTCAATCCCCAAGCCGCCAAAGGTGGCCTTCAAGACTGCCCTCAAGCGCCCCAAGGCGGCCCCAAGAGGTCAAATGGAGGCCCCCGGAAGGCTGCCGACGACGTGAGAAGGGCTAGGGACGCCCTGAGATGACCAAAGGTGCACCCAAGAAGTCACCCAAGATGCCCAAGGAGGCCGCACAGTGGCACCCCAGGAAGCCCCCAGGGGGCCCTGGGAGAGCCCCAAGAGGCTCCCAAGATGCCTGATCCTCGTCGCCCTCCTCCTCCGGCTCCTCCTCCTCCTCCTCCTCCTCCTCCTCTTTCTCCAGCCTTTTCCTTATACATAACCGCCCCCCCTTTTCGCACTCGGGGAGGTGTTGGTAGGGCGGGCCCAGCGCTTCGCCTGAGACCCCCTCACCAGTTCTAAGCCGAAGCTTGATATCTGCAAGCGTTTCATCGATGGAGGGCGAATCCTTTTCAAAATGTGGCTCTCGCCTCAGCGCCGCGCACATTCGCCTTATACGTTCGCAGCAATTTCAAAGATGCAGGGCGGGTGGTTTTCAAACTTTGGCGCTCGCCTTAGCGCCGCGCGCATTCGTCCTGAAACCGTGACAGAATTTCAAACGTGGAGCCCGTGTGGTTTTCAAAAGTTGGCCCTCGCCTTAGCAGTGCGGACATTCGTCTTCACATGTGGCATCAGTTTGAAAGGTGGGGAGCACGTGCTGATCGAACATTTAGTCTTCGCATTACTTAACGCCAAACCCATTTGTGGTTAGCAACTGGCAGCAGCTTCGAACATTGAGTGCGGGTGGTCTTCAACACGTGCCTATTGCTTCAGATTCAAGGATGGAGGGCGGGTGGTTTTCACAATGTGGATCTCGCCTCAGCGCCGTGCAGATTCGTCTTAAACGTATGCAGCCGTTTCCAGATCTCGCAGGGCTGAGGTGCCAGGAGTTGTCTTCTAACACGATTTCGGGTTTTCAGGACGCAGTCACCTTGATTCGCGGGGTGAAGTCCCAGATCTTGTGTTCTGGCAAGCGTTAGGATTGTCTGGGCGCAGCAATCACGTTGATTCGCGGCGTTGGTGTACCAAGAACGGTGTTCTTGAACGACTGAAGACTCCCAGACAATTCTCTTTCAACAGGGAACTTCCAGCAATGCAGGAACGTCCTTGCAGGGACTTGTGAAGAAGGGGATCGGGGGGAGGGTGTATTGCAATATCGTTGATGAGGTGCACGGCGTGACAAATGTGTAACAAGTTCTCGGTCTATTTGAGTTCACAATGGGGTCTTGGCATAATGTGTTGGCCGTACCTATCCCATCTGTCTTCCCACACAAGACGGCCCCGAAGTGGCCTCCAAGACACCAATATGGCCTCCAAGACGGCTAAGATGGCCCAAGATTGCCTCCAAGACTGTCCCAAGACGCCTCCGAGACGGGCAAGATGCTCAAAGACGGCAGAAGACGCCCTCCAGACGGCCCAAAAGGTCCTCAACCAATCATTCACGTTCCCTAGTTTTGTTCTTGATTTTAGCGTTCTCGCCTTTTCGGGCCTCTCCACGATCCAAGACGGCCGCACAGGTCCGCAAGGTCGCCCCAAGACAGCCCAAGATGCCCCCAAGAAGCAAGAGGCCCGCAAGACGGCCCAACAAGGACCCAAGACGGCCCAAGAGGCCCCCAAAACGGCCCCAAGCTGGCCCCATAGACCTCCAAGACGGCCCTACAGCGCCCAAAGAGGGACCCACGACTGTCCAGAAAGGGACACAAGACGACCTCCGAAGGACAAGAAATCCAATAGAGGCCCCCAAGAGGCCCCCAAGAGAGGCTACAAGAGGGCCTCGGCCTCAAGAGGCGTCCTCTTCGTCCTCCTCCTCCTCGTTCCCCTCCTCCCCCTCCTCCTCCTCCTCCTCCTCCTCCTCCTCCTCCCTCCTCCCTCCTCCTCTTCCTCCTCCTCCTCCTCCTCCTCCTCCTCCTCCTCCTATTCGTGTTCCTTCCTCCTCCTCTCCTGCTCCATTCTCTCCTTCTCCCAGTATGCTCTCTACCTGTTCTCGAGTCTCTCCTTCTCCCAGTATGCTCTCTACCTGTTCTCGAGCTCCAATTCCTTGCTTTCCACCCTGAACCATATGCTCTATGCTTCTGCACTCCGCAGTATGCTCTATACTCTCTGTCCTCGACCCGCTGCCCTCTGTTGTCCACACTCATCTCTTTACGTTGTGCTCCCAACTCGTGCCCTGATTTTCGCTGTCTCCCTAAACTATGTGTACCATCGAGGCCCCAGGAACCTGGCAGCAACTGGTAACCCAAAAAACCAAGGAAGGGAACTCGGAAACTGAGAGAGCCCGGGAACCTGGCCGCCCACCGATCTCCGTGGCGGGCTTTCACCAGACCGGCGCACTATCCACGCGGGCCCCTTCAGCACAAGGGCTGATTCAAGAAGGACTTCGAGGGGCAAAAAGAAGCCCTGTCCCCAGCCGCGCGACCACGACGCGTGGAGCACGCGTGCTGCCCACCCCTCCTCCTCCTCCTCCTCCTCCTCCTCCCCCTCCTCCTCCTCCTCCAAATCCTCCTCCTCTCAGTGATCACTTATGCAGACGACTGCCTGGTCGCTGCTCGCCTTCTCTCCGTGCAGGTAGTGCTCGGTAACTATTGCTGGGCCAGCTCCCTCTTGCCCCTGCCCTTCGCCGGTGGCCCTAAGTAGCTCTTCTCGCGAATGCTTTCTGGCTGGTCCAGGGATCGTTGGAGGCCCTGACATGGGATCATATCAGCCGGCCGGCAATGCGAACGACGCCCTGTTATAGCCCCCGGCGCCTGTGACGCCCGTCCCGGCGCTTGCGCCGGCTGCGCCTGCAGCGCCCGCCGCGGAGCCCTCCGAGGTGACGCGGCTCCAGCCGAAGTCCGCCGGCGCCCTCGGGGCCACCCTGCGAGCGAGACCTCTTGTGCGCATCCTCAGACGCCCGCCCCCCCGTAGCCCAGCCTGACCCATTTGGAGGACCGGTGGATGACGAAGGGGGCGGGGGACACCAGGAAGCCAGAAGCACACATGGCTGGCTTCACATGCGGAACGTGCGGGGCCGCTTGCTATTAGGATCACCGTGCCTGGCCGTACAAGGGCTGCGCGCCAGAAAGACATGCGACCACATGTAATTCTAGCTCTCGCCCAGACAGGCCATGTCAAGTGCATCCCGCTTGCTGGTTGTACAGGGTGGGCACGAATCAACTGCATGCAGTTGGCTTTCCCCGCGTCTGGAAGCAACGCGAACGACCGTGCATCTAGGAAAGAGCCCAGTGGCGGAGCCGAAACCAAGTGCATGCTGCAGGTTTCGTACTTCCCTCCCTTCCCCGATAACCCCCTTTGATGCACCTTAACGAGTCTAGCTGTTTTTTGTTGGGCGAGGGCTGGGTAACCAATGACATCAAAGACCCCAACCCCTTTGAAGCAATTTTGAACTCATTTGGAAAGCCACGTCTCTGTCAGCACCCTCGCGTGGAGCACGCCTGCAACGGCGCCGCGCAGACCGCGCATTCACTCCTGGTTGCGCGCGTGCGCGTGAAGCTTGGTTTTTTATCACCGCGCCCATCACTCACCGATCACGTTTTTGCGTCTTTCCCCGGTTGAGCTCACTGCCCTTGTGGCGATGCGCCCTGCCGTGGCGACGCGACGTTGTCCCCCGACCCCACGACGGCGTCCAGTTGAAGACGGACTTTCTAAAACATGGCGAACACTTGCTAGCAAGGAGACATGGTTACGAAAACAGCCAACAGGAACATCAATCACGTAGATCACCTCGTCACTCCTTCGCAGAAGCGAAGCCATATGACATGCCCGTCCCCGGCCAACAGATGACTGGTGCACGTACATCGGGAGCGGCCAAGAGGGGGCGTCCAAGAGAAGGGGGTGCAAATCATGGCCGGCGGCGTGTGCGCGGCCCAGGGGGGGGGGCCGGGGACGTATTGAAATTAGAAGGGGCGCCATGAAATCTGGGGAGATATCATGGCCCCCGCCATGGTATCCACCCCCCCTAGTCATGACCCAATTCTTTGCCGCCCCCAAGTGCATCTGTGTTTGAACTCTCGTTTGCTTACTCACCGGGCCCGTGTTTTTATTTGAACGCGACGCCCCCGTCGACCCTCCGCCGCGCGGCACGCCACGGCGGCCAGCACGTCCAACGCCCAGCCTGCCCGTGCTACGCAAAGCCAGCTCGCGGCACCACAGGAGCCTTGCGAAAGAATGAAGGGAACTGGGACACACAAAGAAATAGACACAAAAAAACGGATCCTCCATAGTTTCCCATCTCTCCTGGGTGCTTGTCTCCCCCCCCACTTCCCATATCTTCTCCTCTCTGCTGGGGAGCCGGCGATTCCTTGTGCCTGTGTGTTTTTCTGCCCCTCCCGGAAGAAGCTCAAGCCACTCGTACCTGTGGAAGCGCCGGCTGCACCGCCTCCGGATCCAGTCGCGGCCTGACCACCAATGGGGACGGGATCGTTCCGAATTCTCGACGGCGGTGGCTGGGCCTCGGATCCGGCGGGCGAGCGGGGGGGCGGGCGGGGAGAGAGACGCACACACGGCGCTCCAGTCGTCCAGAAGACGACGAGGTCGGCCCAAGTGTCATGTCGGGCCTGTCCCCCTGCAGGGGGACTTTGAACGAACAATAAAAGGTACTCAACAATACGCAAAAGATTCTCAAAAGTACCCCAAAAGTATCCCTTAGACTATTTTTTGACTATTTTTCCCCACATCCTGAGTGGGGTTCTTGTTTTCCCAGAACACCCTCTCCTTCCCACCCACCTCCCGCTCCATCTTCCATACAGCACAATATTATTCCTACCACACACCATACCATACCATAGTTCCTACCACACATACCATACCATACCATACCATACCATACCATACGTACCATACCGTACCATACCATACCATGGCGTACCATAGCATACCATACCATATCACACCAATGCCACACCGTACCATACCATACCATACCTCCAGTACCATACCATACCATATCATACCATACCGTACCATACCATACCTACCATACCATTCCATACCACTCCATACCGAAAACCATACTACTTACATGGTTTCGTGCCCCTCCCACCCCTCCAGGGAGGCCCCGCCTGAGCGAGGAGGGTATCGGAAAACCATACTATTTACATGGTTTCGTGCCCCTCCCACCCCTCCAGGGAGGCCCCGCCTGAGCGAGGAGGGTATCGGAATACCATACTATTTACATGGTTTCGTGCCCCTCCCACCCCTCCAGGGAGGCCCCGCCTGAGCGAGGAGGGTATCGGAATACCATACTATTTACATGGTTTCGTGCCCCTCCCACCCCTCCAGGGAGGCCCCGCCTGAGCGAGGAGGGTATCGGAATACCATACTATTTACATGGTTTCGTGCCCCTCCCACCCCTCCAGGGAGGCCCCGCCTGAGCGAGGAGGGTATCGGAATACCATACTATTTACATGTTTCGTGCCCCTCCCACCCCTCCAGGGAGGCCCCGCCTGAGCGAGGAGGGTATCGGAATACCATACTATTTACATGGTTTCGTGCCCCTCCCACCCCTCCAGGGAGGCCCCGCCTGAGCGAGGAGGGTATCGGAAAACCATACTATTTACATGGTTTCGTGCCCCTCCCACCCCTCCAGGGAGGCCCCGCCTGAGCGAGGAGGGTATCCGAAAACCATACTATTTACATGGTTTCGTGCCCCTCCCACCCCTCCAGGGAGGCCCCGCCTGAGCGAGGAGGGTATCGGAAAACCATACTATTTACATGGTTTCGTGCCCCTCCCACCTCTCCAGGGAGGCCCCGCCTGAGCGAGGAGGGTATCCGAAAACCATACTATTTACATGGTTTCGTGCCCCTCCCACCCCTCCAGGGAGGCCCCGCCTGAGCGAGGAGGGTATCCGAAAACCATACTATTTACATGGTTTCGTGCCCCATCCCACCTCTCCAGGGAGGCAAAACCATACTATTTAGATGGTTTCGTGCCCCTCCCACACCTCCAGGGAGGCCCCGCCTGAGCGAGGAGGGTATCCGAAAACCATACTATTTACATGGTTTCGTGCCCCTCCCAGGGAGGCCCCGCCTGAGCGAGGAGGGTATCCGAAAACCATACTATTTACATAGTTTCGTGCCCCTCCCACCTCTCCAGGGAGGCCCCGCCTGAGCGAGGAGGGTATCCGAAAACCATACTATTTACATGGTTTCGTGCCCCTCCCACCCCTGCAGGGAGGCCCCGCCTGAGCGAGGCCCCACTGTTTACACGGTTTCGTGTCCCCCCTCCACTCCTCCAGAGAGGCCGCGCTTGAACGAGGAGGGTCGCGGAAAGCATTACTCTTCGCCAGGTTTCGTAGCCCTCCCCCCTTCCAGCGGGGCCCCGCCAAAGCGAGGAGGGCATCAAGAAAATTGGTCCCACGAAACCGTTAATCTCTTTATGTGGGGAACTCCGTTAGCATAATTGAATATTCCCCCCATAGAGGGACAGGCCCGACTTAACCCAAGTGGTTCCAGATGGCAGCCCATCCCGCAGGATGGCCAAGCTGGGCTCCAGACGGGCCTCCAGTGTGCGTCCAAGCGGCCGCATGGAACCACGACGGCCAGAGGTGACAAATGAGCTCCACAGCACCGCTCCGAATGATTCGAAGCCGCCCAAAAAGAGCTTAATGACCCTCAGGACGGGCCAAGACAGCCCAAAGAGGACCCCAATGCGGTCTAAGAGTCTGAGACGGCCCCCAGAGAGGCCCAAGACTGCAGAAGCGAGCCCCCGAAGACCCCAAGACGCACCATGACGGCTCAGAAGGGCCCAAGCATCCCCCAAGAGGCCCCCCAAGGCCCTCAGGAGGCGTCCGAGAGGCCCCCGACACGGCCCAACAGGGCCCCTTTTGAGCACGGCTGCGGGCCGCCCGAGCGGTCGCACAGTTACCACGGGGCTTCGACGACAGCGCACCCCTGGAAGAGAGGCAAACCGGGGCCTCTCGAGTGGTCGGCAGTGAGGCGTGAGCCGAGGGATCGGCGACGCGAGGCCGCAGGTCCGCGTCCATCAGGATGTTCGCGGGCTTCAGGTCGCCGTGCACCACTCCTGAGAGGACGCCAGCTGCATCCACTCCTCCTCCTCCTCCTCCTCCTCCTCCTCCTCCTCCTCCTCCTCCTCCTCCTCCTCCTCCTCCTCCTCCTCCTCCTCCTCCCCCTTCTCCTCCTCCCCTCCTCCTCCCCCCTCCTCCCTCCTCCTCCTCCCCCTCCTCCTCCTCCTCCTCTCCTCCTCCTCCCCTCCCTCCTCCTCACTCCTCCTCCTCCTCCTCCTCCTCCTCCTCCCCTCTCCTCCCCCTCCATCCTCCTCCTCCTCCTCCTCTCGGCGATCCTGGCCGGGCCTGTCCTGGGCCTGGGATCGGTAAGATACGGACGCTGTCGTGGCCAGGCACGCGCAGGCGCCGACGCCAGCCCAGGACTGGTGGCCTTCGCCTTCCTTCCTCCTCTCCTCCTCCTCCTCCTCCTCCTCCTCTCTCCTCCCCTCCTCCTCCTCCTCCTCCTCCTCCTCCTCCTCCTCCTCCCCCTCCTCTTGCTGCGCTCCTCCTCCTCCTCCTCCTCTCCTCACTCCTCCTCTCCTCCTCCCTCCTCCTCCTCCTCCTCCTCCTCCTCCTCCTCCTCCTCCTCCTCCCCCTCCTCCCCCTCCTCCCCCTCGCCCCAGGGCGAGGGAAGGCGGTGCGCACGTGGGCGGCCGGCGTCCCCCGAGGTCCGCAGGAGTGCAGGTGGTCCAAGGCGTGCAGGATGCCGCGGGCAACCAGCAAGAGCTTCGCGGTGGGTCGTTTCTTCTCCTTCACTGCGGGACGCAAGACATCGACAACACAGAGGCTCGATGACGCGATAACGCAAGCAGAAGGGAGGATTACACAAGGCGCCCGATACTTTAAATACTTACGGCTGAGGGTTTAAAACTAACCGTGAGAAAGAAAAACACGTGAACACAACACGTAAACACAACACGTAAACGTGAACAAAAAACAACACGCAACAACAACACGTAACCACAACACGTAAACACAACACACTTAAAACAACACGCAAATAACAACACGGAACACGTGAAAGCAACACGTAAAACCAACGCCGAAACACAACACTAAAACACAACACGTGCAAACAACACCACGCAAACACAACACGCAAAAACAACACGCAACAGACGCAAACGCAAACAAAAACAATGGCAGGAGAAAACGTCGAACACACAACGTAAACAACTGAAAACGTAAAAACGACACGTGACACAACACGTACAAACAACACGCAACAAACACGTAAAAGCAACACGTAAACACAACACGTACACGAGAGAACAACAAACCAACACGCAACCACAACACGCAAAAGCAACACGCAAAACAACACGAACAAACTAACACGTACAACACACGCGTAAAAAACAACACGTACAAACAACACCTAAACACAACACCTTAACACACCATGCAAACACAGCACGCAAAAGCAACACGCAACAGAGCAAGCCAAAAACAACAATGACAGAAGAAAGCGTCGAACACGAACCATAAAAAAGAGAACATGACCACAACATGTACACACAACGCGCCACGCAACAACAACACGTAAACAACAACACGTAAATCACAACGTGAACACAACACTCACAACAACACGTAAACACAACACGTAAACGTAAAGCAAAAGCAACGACACATAAAAACAACACGCACACACAACACGTAGAAACAGCACGTTAAAACAACACGTGAAACAACACGCAACACCATCACGTAAACACAACACGTAACACAACAACACGCACACACAACGCGCAACGCACGCAAACGCAGAACAAAAAACCACTACCAAACAAAATCGTCGAAACAAAACGTTGAAACACAGATAACGTAAAACACAACACTTAAAACAACACGCAAAAAAAACAACACGTAACACCAACGCATGAACACAACACGTAAAAACAACAAGGAAACACAACACGTACAAACAACACGCAACACCAACGCGCAACATCGACACGCAAGCACAACACTTAAACCAATACGTAACAACAACACGTAAAAACATAACACGTAAAGTCAACACGTGAAAGCAACACATTTTTAAAAAAAAAAAACAGCACGTAAGAACAACACGCCAAAAACAACACGCAACAACCGCAAACGCAAAACAAATGACGAACGATAGCGTCGACACAAAACGTGAAAAAAGAAACCCGAAAAACAACACGCAAAAACAACGCGTAAACACAACACGTAAAACCAACACGTAAAACAACACGTAAAACAACACGTAAAACACAACACGTAAAAACAAAACGTGGAAACAACACGCAAACACAACACGTAAAAACAACACGAAAAAAACAACACGTAAAAACAACAAGAGGAGAAGGAGGAGGAGGAGGAGTTGGAGAAGGGCGTGTGCGTTGTGGGCGTGTGTGTGTGTGGTGTGTGTTGTCTGTGTTTTTACATGTGTGTTTTTACGTGTGTGTGTGTTGTTACGTGTTGTGTTTGTGCCGTGTGTGTTGTAGGCGTGTGTGTTGTGGGCGTGTGTGTTGTGGGCGTGTGTGTTGTGTGTGCGTGTGTGCTGTTTGTGTTGTGTGTGTGTTATGTGTTGTGTGTGTTGTGTGTGTGTGTGTTGTGTGTGTGTCTTTTGTGTTATGTGTTGTGTGTGTTGTGTGTGTGCTGTGTGTGTTGTGTGTTGTGTGTGTTGTGTGTTGTGTGTTGTGTGTGTGTTGTGTCTGTGTTTCGTGTGTGCTGTGTGTTGTATGTATATGTGTGTGTTTTGTGTGTGTGTTGTGCGCGTGTGTTGTGTATTTGTGTTGTGCGTGCGCGTTGTGTATGTATGTGTGTGTTGTGCGTCATGTTGTGTACATGTATGCGTGCGTTGTGTATAGTTGTGTCTGTTGTGTATGTAGTTGTGTGTGTTGTGTGTATGTGTGTGTATGTTGCTTGTGTGTGTGTCGTGTTTACGTGTTGTTTTTACGTGTTGTTGTTATGTGATGTTTTTACGTGTTGTTTTTACGTGTTAATTTCTTATCACGTTCACGTGCTGTTTTTACGTGTTGTGTTTGCGTGCTGTTTTCTCTCACGGTTAACATTTATTTTCCCACGGTTAAGAACTACCGTTGTACGGCTCGGCGAGGCTGGAATTGATGCATATCCGCCGTCAGGGGAACCGACCTCTCAGGACCACAGCTTGCCCCACAGGTCCCGAATCTACCCATACCCACCGCCTCCCGAGGTCCAGGAAGATCGCCCCCCCAAAGCGATGGATCCGTTCGAATCCCAGCCTCAGAGTCTTACTTTGTCAAGACTCCCCTGCACCTTGGCCCACGCTGCCAGGTCAGCGTCGTACAGCGGCATCTGCACGTACCCGGTGCCGTCGGCGATGAACACGCACTCGACCGGAACGACGGTGTGGTGCTTCAGACTGCGGGCCAGGCGGGCCTCCTTCAGGAACTGCCGGCGCCGGTCGTCCGATTCGAGGGGAAAGGCCTTGAGGACGCACCGCTTGCCAGCGAAAGTTGCGCGGAAGACCGCGTGGTTGGATTCTGCCAGCTTCTCCCTGTCCTCGTACATGTGCAGGCCCCGGTCCTCGCTGAAGACGCCGGCAAGTCCGGGGTGCAGGCACCCGCCGACGTCCACGGGCAGCTCGGGGAAGTGATCCTGCTTCACCTGCCAGGCCCGGGCGAAGGCTTCGAGGACCTGCGTGTCCACGACCTGGCGCTCACGCTGCATTCGGCGGAGGTCGCTGGCCGCGCTTGCCGCCTGCTGCTTCCGGGGCGCGGCACTGCCAAGCGAGGCCAAGATCTCGGCTGGGAACACCGAACTGCTGACGCTCCGGTGCCTGGCGCAGAGATCCATCAGCTCTGCCAAGAACTCGCCGCGCTCCTCATTCGGCTCCGCATCGTCCTGCAGATTCAGTTGGTGCGCCTTCAGCAGATGCACCTTCTGCTGCAAACTGCGCCGCTGTCCCCGGAGGCGCGCGAGCTCGTCGACGGCCGGCACGTCGCCCGTCCCTGCCGAGATCGCCAATGCGGGCTGCAAGAACTCAAGGCCCGCCACCGCACCCTTCTGGCACGTTGGGGCGCGGCAGACTGCCGCGGGCATGGTGCGGCATTTTCGGAGGGACTGCGTCTGTCCCGTCGCGCCGCTGTCGCGTGGAAGCCGCGTCGGATCCACGCCGAAGCCACGTCGAATCCGCGTCGGGCACAAGAAAATGCAACCATTTCCAAGACAGGCAGGCCGCCCCCGAAGTTGCAACGCAACATATACAGTGGCGTCTGGCAGGGTCTCTGCTGGTCTTCCGAAGGTTAACGCTTTCTTATTCGGCGTTTCGACATTGGGCAGAAGGGGGGGGAGGGAGGGGGTCTGGCTCCAGACCTCTGCTCAATGCGGCCGTTTGCGGCAGTGCGTCCTGTGGGGGAGACCCCACCTGCTCGAGACAGGCGCCCAAACCAGCCAAGATCTACTCCATGGGGGGGGGGGCCCGCGGGCCCGAGCCGATCGGCAGAACAACAAATAAGCAAACGATGACAAGCTTCTCCTCCGCTTCGGCCTCCTGGGCCCGTCAGCGGGCCCTACGGGGCCGCCCAAAAATACGAAGCCGGGCCGAATAACTACCCCCGGGGAAGGGGTCGGAGGAGGAGGAGGAGAAGGAGGAGGAGAAGGAGGAGGAGGAGAAGGAGGAGGAGGAGGAGAGGGAGGAGGAGGAGGAGGAGGAGGAGGAGGAGGAGGAGGAGGAGGAGGAGGAGGACGGGGAGGGGAGGGGAGGAGGGAGGAGGAGGAGGAGTAGTAGGGGGTGCGAGGGCCCGCGCGCCGATCGGCAAAACAGTGAATCAAAAAACGAGCGCAAGGCCCCCCCCTACCAGGTGATGCCTGCGTGCCCGCCTTCCAAAGGGTCCCTCGACTGCCGAATTTTCTCTCCGAGTTTCCCTAAGGCTCTCCATCGCTTCCCAGGCAGCCCAGGAAGATCACCAAGGCCGCCAAGATGGCCCCCATATTGCCTCGATGGTGTACCCAATAGCCCAAAAGAAGATCCCAAGAAGCGCCGAAGGGCCCAACAGGCTTCCAGCACACTCCAGAGAAAGCCAAGAGGCCACCTGAAAATGCCACAATCATTCATAAACATTGGAAAATCGATAGGATGTCTCGGAGGAGCCAGAGGGAAGCCCATTGAGCGCCGTAAGAAGTCCCCCGGGGAGGACCAGGACAGCCCGAGAGGGCCCCCAAAAGAGCCCGAAGGGGGCCCCCCAAGACAGCCCGACGAGAGACTCCCCGTACGGCCTCGAGGGGCCCACGATGACCCCAAAGCGCCCCAACAGAGCCCCAGAGGGCCCCAAGGCGGCCCAGGTAGCCCCATAAGGAATAGAGACGGCAGGCGTCACATGGGCGATGCTCGAAGCTTCGCCACACAGAGTACCGCGCTCGCACGGCGGCGGGACTTGCCGCAGGCGGCCAGATAACGGCAGGCCTCCCTGTAGTTCTCGAGCTCCTGCGTTAAGTGACCAACCGCGTCCTTAGCGCACTGCAGGAGATCATCGCTGACTGCAACGATCATGCTCACCAACTCAGTTTCTGGCGGCGCGCCCTTCCAGTCAGACTCTTCCTTCTGCAACGCCAATAGCGAGTTGAGAGCGGCTACCCCAGCGAGGTCAACTTGGTGCTCCCCGCCGCCTCCCGAGAATACTAATTTCATAGCTTTCACAGCTTCCTTAACAGCCTTCTCGCTTGCAGTCGTCGCGGGCGTCAATCTCTGCCGCAGCGCAGAATCGGAATCCGCCAAGCTTCCCAACGTAGTGCCCACGCGATCCCGCACCAGCTCCAATGACGGCGCTGCTGCCGACGTGCTGCGAAGTAGAGCCTTGGAGTTGGCGATGGGCTCCGTGAGGCTGGCGTCATCCACGATCCAGCCTTTGTGAGCTGCAACGAACTGCTGGGCCACGGAGAGGCGATTGGCCAGGCCTTCGCCGTCGGTGGACGAGATGTACGCGCCCAGGGCCGAAGCGCATCGCTCTCGCGCTCGGTCGCGCCTGGCGCAAAGAAGTCGCATCCCATCCTTGCCCGACCAGAGGAGGAAGAGAAGGAGTATCGAGGAGGAAGAGAAGGAGGAGGAGTAGGAGGAGGAGGAGGAGGAGGAGGAGGAGGAGGAGGAGAAGGATCGAGGAGGATCGAGGAGGGTGGTCGAGGAGCAGCAGCAGCAGCAGGCGTCCTCCGAGGCCGGCGACACCTGGCCCCGCTTCTGGCCGCCCCGCTCCAGCTTGAACGCCTTCGCCCACACCGCCTCGGCCTCCAGCCACGCCTGTCTCCTCGAGGCCCCGGGGGCGGCCTCGAGGGTCTGCGCCGCCGCGCGAGCTGCGGCGCGAGCTGCGGCGTGGTCCCGCGGCACCTCGGGGACCACCTCGGAGGAGGCAGCTTTGCGCACGGTGTCCTGGGCACTGTCAAATGCCGCCCTTGCTTCGCGAGCTCGATCGTGCGCGTCATCTGACGGTGCGTGATAGCACAGGTCGTCCCAAGGTGCCCCTCTCAGCCAATTGGCCCGATCAATCATCGAGTCAGCGCGGCCACAATGCGACCGCCATCGTTCGACACTAGTTCGTAGTCGGTGGGCTGCGTGCAGTACCTCACTCAGGTCGCGATGAATCTGGTAAGGTGGATGCGTTGCGACAATTCGCACCGCCGAGTTGTACTTGCACTCAAAAACCATAGCGCCATCCACAAGCAACCCATCCACGCTTTCCAGCGGAATGAATTCAAGCCATCCCCAACCCGTCGAGTCACTCCATGAACGGCTACGCGTCTGTGTGTGCGTCTTTGCACCGTCTTGGGGGCAAACTGCACTAACGGCAAATGTCGTCGAAACATCGAATCCTTTGCATGTGGCAGGGCGCATGCAATGGAGAAACACCGATACCGACTTGCCTTTCGCCGTGCCACCTCCCTTGGGGTAAACTGTCAACCGCCAATTGCAGCCGCCAAATTCCCATGTGTCTGAGCGTTGTTGTTCATCGCTTAACTGCTTAAACTCAGAGAGTGTGTATCTGAACGTGTCGCTCATCCTGCGATGCGGCACTAACAGCAGGAGCAACGCAACCTTGAGCCACCAGAGCTGCCTGGCCTTCCCACCTCATCCATCGTGCGTCCCCCCTTGCCGTCCCATCCCTTCTCTCACTCTTCCTCCTTCTCTCCTCCTCCCCCTCGTCCTCCTGCTCCTCCTCCTCCTCCTCCTCATCATCATCATCACTATAATCAAACTCCTCCTGTCCTCCAACTCCCCATGCCCTCACACCCTCCCCCCCCACCTGCGTATCCTGCTCCTCCCCCGCTTCCTGAGCGTCGCCTGGCTGGTTTGCCAGTTTATCACAACTGATCAGAGTTCCTTCCCTGTCTTTGCCCTGAGGACGGAGGAAGGGAGAGGGCAGGGATGGGGGAGGGAGGGGGCAGGAGGGAGGGATCGAGGACCGAGGAGGATGGAAGTGTTGCGCGAGGTTCCTCGGGGGCTCTTTGGAAGCCCTCGGGTCCCCCCTGGAAGACATGTGAGGGTCTCTGGGGGCCTCTGGTGGGTGTCGGCAGTATGGGGGCGTCGTGGGGGCCTATTGGAAGCCCGCTGGTGGTCCCAAGCTCTAGGGAGTTTCTCTGGGGCCGTCTGGGGGCTCTCTTGAGCTGTCGTGGGAGTGTTTTGAGCCTGGTCCTGAGACCCAGCGCTGGGGCAGCCGTGACCCCTCAAGATTAGCTCAAGCGTGTCGGCCTAGCCTCGGACGACGACCTGGCCGAGAGCTAGCTGGGCGACCTCCTTCGACTCATCCTTCTCATCCACCTCCCTGCTCCTCCTGGAACTGCTGATCCTCATCCTTGCCGAGAACGTGTAGTTGTAAAAAGGAAGGGGTGGCGTACGGTCTCAGAAGCATGCGAATGCACGGGCATCCAAAGTGAAACTGAACACATGGATTGCAGACGTGATCCCCTGGATTAACTCAAGCGCGTCAATCGTGCATCCGGGTCGAACTCCGAGATGCATCTGGGGGGCGTCTTAGAAGCAGTTTTGAAAATCCTTGGGGTCCATTGAGGGGCCTCTTTGGGGCCGATTGTGGGCCTCCTGGGGGCCTCTTGCGGGCCTCTAGGGGGGCTTTGGGGGCCTCTTGGGGGGCGTTTGGGGCCCAGTTAGCGGTCTCGGGGGGCATCTTGGGGCGGATGGCTTGGGAGGCAGGTCCGTGCTGCCCCTCTCAGGGCCGTCTTGGGGCCTTGTTGGGCCGCGTTGCTGGCCGTCCTGGGGCTCTCTTGAGCCATCCTAGGGCCCTCTTGGTGGCCTCCTGGGCCGTCTCGGGGGCCTGTGGCGTCGTCCCGAACGCAGCGACACACAGACCAAAAGCAGCAGGATCAAAATGCACATGCAAGTGCAAGCCCGAGGGCCAGCTTGGGGCCCTCTTGAGCGATCTTGGGGCCCTCTTGGGCCGCTTGAAGTGCTTCGTGGGCAGTCTGGGACCCCTCCAGGCCATCGATGGGAGGCCCCTAAGACACCGCCCCTCCATCATGGGGCCCCTCGCGTCCACTTTGGGGCCCATGATGGGAACGAGGGGTGGGCGAGATGAGCAGGGACCGACCGTCCCGGCATTCCTATAGTCCTACCACGAAATGTTTTTTTACCCAGAAATGCTTTACAAGCAATAACAATCTTGTTTGAATACACACCCGATGTGTTAAAGCAAAACAGACTCCGCCAGAAATGCTCTAAGAACATTTCGTGGACACCACCAAGGGGTTCTTAGAACATTGCTTGGTAGGGCTGCAGGCGAGCCAGGACGCTTCGCCACTGCTTGAGCGAGGGGCCCCCGGGAGACCGCCCTCGGGGCCCTCTGGGGGCCCCACCGTGCGCGCGGGCCCGGCCTCCGGGAGCCCGGCAGGGCCAACCTCGGCACCAAGGGATGGGGGAGGGGGGGAGCGCCGGAGACGTCTGCTGCCCCCCGGGCCCGAGGGCCCGGGCGCCCATTTTGCAGGGCAGTTTCATCAATACACAGGATTATATAAAAGTATGGAGTTTTAATACATGATCAATCTATGAATAAATCTGTGCATGCAAACATCGTTGTTTTTGATACTGAATCCCTGCATTTGTCATACATGATCCGCACGCGGAGCATGCATTAAAAACGGCACTGTATGTCATAGATGGGAAGGGGACAGGTCCCAACCTGCGCAGGATTCCAGAACGGCTCCACGAAAACCCCAAGTCAGTTCGATGAGAACGGGCCAGGCCCCAGCCTCCGGACGATCCCAGCATAACCCCACCAGAGTTCACGTTCCATCTGCGTTGGAGTGGGATGGGTCGCAGCCTTGGGATGATTCCAAAAGATTTCTTGTGCGCCAGACTGCACTTGAATCTCCATGGTTGTGGATTTCCTGCGAGATATTGCTGCGGCGTGCTACTATTACTTAGAAACTGGCATGACCCTTCCAATGAGGTTCAAACATTGGCCGCAGTTGGAGTGGGGCAGATTCCCACTTTCAGAGGTCTCCAATCGGACCCCAACGTGTACTCAAGTACGTTATACCAGGAACGAGAAAAGGTCGCAGCCTCAAAAGGAGTAAAACGATACTTCAGATACATCCGAATGAGAATCAGGCAGGGCCCAGCATTCACAGGCTGTCAATACGATGCCACTAAGACCCCGATTCAAGTCAATAAGGATGGGGAAGGTCTCAGCCTCAAGAGGATTCCGCAGCCTTCGGATGAATCCAACAGATTCCTTGCGCGTCAGACTGCAGTTGAATTCCTTTCCAGGTGGGTTACGTACATGGGACGTCTTGCTTGCGGCGGGTTACACATGCGGAAAAGGAAATTACAAGGTCACCACAAGCGTGCCCGGATTCAACACGAAGTGGGAATTGGACATCAGCTTCAGAGAACTCTATCCCAATGTGAATTGAAGTCTGTTGTAAGTGGTATGGTGTGCGCACGCACGTATGAATCGACATGGTTTTTGGAGCGTAGAGCAAGCGCAGCGCAAGCCTCTATGACAGCAACGCTTATGTATGAATGAAAATGTACGTAAACAAACATGTATGAAGAGCATCGACGCAAAAAAACACGAAATTCGGGCCTCCGGGCCCCTCTGGGGACCTCCCATGGGCTCCCGAGGTGCGGATCAGGGGCGGGGGTAAACTTGCCAATCGGGCAATGGCGAGGCACCCCCACCCCTCCGCCTCCTACTCCTCGTGCTCGTACTGGGCCTCCTGAACTTCCTCCTCCCCCTCCTCCTCCTCCTCCTCCTCCTCCTCCCCTCCTCCTCCTCCTCCTCCTCCTCCTCCTCCTCCTCCTCCTCCTCCTCCTCCTCCTCCTATCGCTATCGCTATCGCTATCGGCTCGATGTCCATTGGACGACCTCCTCCTCCTCCTCCCCCTCCTCCTCCGCTCCCTCTCCTCCTCGCCTCCCCTCCTCCTTCCCTCTCTCCTCCGTCTCCCTCGTCTCTCCTCGTCCTCGTCCTCCTCGTCCTCGTCCGCCTCGTCTTTCTACTCCTCCCCCCTCCTCCCACTCCTCGTGCTCCTCGCCGTGACCATCCCTCTTCTTCGGCATGGCTTGGCGCCATGGCATGCCTGTGAAGTAAGTCCTCGTCGTCGTCGTCCTCCTCCTCCACCTGCTCCTCTGCTCCTCCTCCTCCTCCTCCTCCTCCTTCTCCTCCTCCTGATCCTCCTCCTCCTCCTGATCCTCCTCCTCGTCTTCGTCCTCGTCCTCGTACCATCTTTCCTTCTCCTCCTCCTCCTCGTCTCCTCCTCCGCCTCCTCCTCCTACTCTGCCCCCTCCCCGCCACCTCCTCCTTCTCCAAGGTCTCTCGTCCGCCTCCTTTTCCTCCTCCTCCTCCTCCTCCTCCTCCCTCCTCCTCCTCCTCCTTCTCCTCCTCTTCCTCGTTCTCCTCCCCATCCCTCTCCTCCCCCTCCCCCTCCCAGTCCTCCTCCCTGTATTCGTTCTGCTTCGCGCGGGAATTCAACGGCTGAGTCTGTTTGGGGCGGCTGGTCTGATTGCAAGGCCTTGTCCCGACGGGTGACCAAATATAGCCTCTCCGACCCTTGAGACGGCAACTTTCGCTTGAAGAAAAAGCTGGGCCGACAACTCCCTCGCGGTTGAATGAACTGGCCGTCAGCTCTGTCTTCTTGCACAACATCGGCTGCAACTCTCTGTCTTGGTGGAAGCTTTTGCCGTTCATTCCTTTTGTTCCATGCGAACAAATCCACATCACAATAATCCGCTGCCCCTCGAGGAGGCTTTCCTGAACTCCGCTGACGAAGCACTGAACCCGGCAGAGAGCTCAACCCAGAACGGCCCAGGACAAGCAGGGCTGTCCTGCGAACGTGGCCGAAATCCTAGGCGAAACAACATCTGCACAAACGGAGCCAACACACAGACCTAAGGTATTAAAATATGATGTGTGTTCCTCACAGGGCTGTCAGATGCGCTTCTCAGGGTCCCGACTGGCCTCGCCCGCTCTGCATTACCGCGGCCGTCGGGCCTCAGCACTCTGAAGGGGCCCTTGGGACACACACACACACATAAATACACACAGACAACAGGACTCCCCATACTTTCCCATATTTTCAGGGCTTATTGTCTTCCCCCCACTTCCCATATTTTCCCATATTCTCCAGGGAGTCGACGATTAATTGTGTCTGTGTTTTTTTTCACTCCTGGTACTCAGGGGAATCACAAGGAATTCCGCCTCGCCCGCCCTCCATACTGTGACCGACATGCCCCGATCCGGACCTGGCCCGCCCTGCTTAGGGTTAAGTCGGGCCTGTCCCCCTACAGGGGGATTCTGGGCGAAGAATGAAAAATAATCAAAACATGTTCCAAAATGGGCAAAAAACACTTCAAAAATAGTCCCCAGGCTATTTTCTGACTATTTTTGAATATTCCCCCTTTCGAGGAACAGGCCGGACTTAATTAAGCATGGGGCGGCCACAAGGTCGCCAAGGGGGGACTCCGTCGCCGACCCAAGGAATCCGCGCGCACCTCTGAAAATCTACACCCGTGTTGTGATCCTCGAGGTCGACTGGCCGACGGTCGATCTGTCGACCGACCGTCGACCTTTCCAGCGACGATCAGCCAACGATGGTGCCCGGCC